GGGCCGTGGTAGCTCGGGGGGGTCAGGAGCGGGCCGTGGTAGCTCTGGAGGGTCGGGATCGGGCCATGTTAACTCGGGAGGGTCGGGATCAGGCCGTGTTAACTCGGGAGGGTCAGGAGCGGGCCGTGGTAGCTCAGGAGGGTCGGGAGCGGGCCGTGGTAGCTCTGGGCCCTGGCAGCTCTGGTAAGCGTGACATGGTCAAGATCTCAGGAGAGTATAGCATGTAGCTTCCTAGCTGGGAGAGGAAAACCTGGGGTGAGAAGACTAACAAAGGTGAAAGCAAGAAAGCAAAGAGGCAGGCCTAGGAGGGCGGGGCGCGAGGCTGGCTGAGCCCAGAACTAGCTAGGATCAGGCCCGTTGGGGACAGTTGAGTTTTCTAGGCGTGAGCCACGTTGGGTAGAGGTGAGGACCGGAAGCAGCCTCAGTCACAGCCAGTGCAGGCTTCCTGCCAGGCTCCAACGGTGGCCAGAGAGTCCTTCTGGATTCCACGTGCTGGGCTTCTGTTGGATCTCCCCGATCAACTGCATGAGGGAGAGCCAGAGACTGGCTGGGCTCAGCGTTTCCATCTGTGGCACGGGGGTCATGAGGGTGGGCTCAGGGATCGGGAGCGTCGCTTCCTTCAGCAAGCTGGACCTGGGCACGGCCCGGGGGTGGAGGCGGCCTCCTGGGTCCGGCTGCTGAGACCTCGTGACTCCTCCATCCCCAGCCTGCTTGTTTTCTAAGTAAATGCAGTTTTATTTCCACTTTTTGGTTTCAATAATTGCTTGTGTAACAAGATTGAACAGGATATTTTACCTTCTCAGGTTTTCTGAGCTCCCACATGGGTGAAATTAGCAAGCAGGAGGGTTCCCCTGGCTTGGAAACGGACGTGTGTGTGCGCGCGCGTGTGTGTCAGTGCGTGTGTGTGTGTGCACGCGCGTGCGTGTCAGAGTGAGAGCAGGTGTCGGCACTTGCTGCACAGGGCAAGGTGGTGTCAGGAGGGGCCTGAGGAAGGCAGCGTTCACAGCTTCACCCATGTGCTGGCATCTGTTGCCATCTGCGATGTAACATATGCAATAATGTGTATTTATAAGATGCATTGCACAGAAGCAGTTTGCTTAGTCTGCCTGGAGGAAGAGAAGGCCGCACACCTACCTGGTATAGTCAACTCAGCCGTGTCTAGCCCCGGCACACAGCAGCTGGGTCCCCTCAGGGCTGGAGGAGACGGCCGCTCCCCACTGCAGCCACCGTGCCTGTGGGTCATGTCCTTGTTTTACCTGAATGCTCTGTAGGAGACGTGCACTGCTCAGCGCCACGCCATGGTGTTCTTCCTGACTTGTGCCGCTGACTCAGGGTCGGGTAGGAGGTGGGACAGCCTATGTGGTGTCCCGGCCAAGCCTGACCCACGTGGCTGTGTCCCCCACAGTACGACGAGCATGTGATCAGCCCGAAGGAATTTGTGCACCTGGCCGGGAAGTCTACCCTGAAGGACTGGAAGAGAGCCATCCGCATGAACGGCATCATGCTCAGGTGGGCGCTGGCACCGGGGTCAGCCTCCCTCGTGGAAGGGGCCCTGGCAACTCTTGCTTTCTTGTGGGGTTTTGAGATTTTGAAGATGAGGCGTGTTTTAGATGTGGTGAGTGCTGACAACCTCCCGGGTAACTGCACCTGCTCACACCCGAAACACTAACCCATCTCCCACGCCCCTGCCAACAGGGACACTATCAGAGTTTTAGAATTGTTTTGTCAGTTATTTTAATATCCACCAATTCTTTACCTGAAGGCACTTGTGGCTATTTCACTGTTGTAAAATAGAGGGTTGGCCGGGCATGGTGGCTCACACCTGTAATCCCAACACTTTAGGAGGCTGAGGCAGGAGGATCACTTGATGCCAGGAGTTTGAGACCAGCCTGGGCAAAATAATGAGACCTCATCTCTACTAAAAATAAAAAAAATTATCTCGATTTGGTGGCATATGCCTGTGGTCCCAGCTACTCGAGAGGCTAAGGTAGAAGGATCACTTCAGCCTGGAAATCTGGGCTGCAGTGAGCTGTGATTGTGCCATTGCAATCCAGCTTGGGTTACAGAGTGAGACTGTCTCAAAAAGAAAAAACAAGAATAAAAGGGAAAAGAAAAGGGTCTGTTTCAATTATGCATATTCTGAAAATAAAAACAAGGTATAATCTGGTATTTGTGCATCAGATTTTGGCCTTTTATGTTATTCTTTATTTCTGCCCTTTCTATCACTTTTTTTTTTGAGACGGAGTCTTGCTCTGTTGCCCAGGCTGGAGTGCAGTGGCATGATCTTGGCTCACTGCAAACTCTGCTTCCTGGGTTCAGGTGATTCTCTTCCTCAGCCTCCCCAGTAGCTGGGTTTACAGGTGCCCGCCACCACGCCCAGCTAATTTTTGTATTTTTAGTAGAGACGGGATTTCGCCATATTTGCCAGGCTGGTCTCAAACACCTGACCTCAGGAGATCCCTGCCTCAGCCTCCCACAGTGCTGGGATTGCAGGCATGAGCCGCCGCGCCCGGCCTCCACTTTATCTGTGAATCATAAGCCGCAGTCTCAGTCTTTGTGGGCCTGGCCTCTGCCTTGCTTCCCAAGGAGGGCCCGTGCTTTGTGCTGGAGTCAGAGTTTGAGGCCTCACGAGTGACTGGCCCTGGGTCCTTCCCCATGGCTCAGGTCCTGTCCAGCTGAGCTGGCCTCTGATTTTTCTGGAACGTGGCTGGTGGCACAGCTGTGGGGACCACCGGCCAGGTAGGCAAGTCCTGAGCTGACCACAGAAGCATCAGTCTGTGTGTGCCTGAGGTCAGCGCTGCCCAAAGATTGAATGTGGCCGGAGCCTCTGACCCTTGTTTCATGGGTCGAGGCAGGCTCATTGGGACACACAGGACTGAGACCCTGGACCTCCGGAGAGGTGGAAGAGAGGGCCCTGGGAGGGCGGGTCTTGGTAGTTTGGGCCATGGGAAGCCTTCCTGGTAAAGATGAGGATGAGCGGCAGCCATGGCTGTTGGTGCTCTCCTGCGCCCTCATCACTCTCCTTTGCTGTCTCTGTGCCTTTAGAAGGAGGAAGGCTTCTCCTGGAAGTGGTTTCCCACCTTCCTCTGCTTCAGAATGAGCCATGCATGATGCAGGGGGGCCAGGCCAACCTTTGTTAGCTATGGGTCACTCCCTTAGGACTTGGGTAGTGGAACGCCCCAGAAAGGCCCAGCCCCACAGATTCTGATGGGCACCTCCAGGATACCCGCTGGCCAGCGCGCGCCTCCTTCCTGGGGACAGTGCCGTGGTGTGGGGCTGGGCCGGCTGCTTCCTCAGCAGCAGGGTCCTGCACGCCGAGCTTGCGCTGAGGGAAGCGGAGCCCACCCTCCTCTGTGGAGCTGCCAGCGCCTCGGCCAGGACTGGCCCACACAGGTGGATGGCCCAGGTCAGGGAGGGCGGGCAGGTGCCTTCGGCTCTGGGGCTGACCTGGACGCTCCGTGCCACCCCCTGCCATAGGAAGATCATGGACTCCGGGGAGCTGGACTTCTACCAGCACGACAAGGTCTGCTCCAACACCTGCCGCAGCACGAAGATCGACCTCTCAGGAGCCCGCGTGTCCCTGAGCAGTCCCACGTCGGCCGAGTACATTCCCCTCACGCCCGCCGCAGCGGACGGTAGGTGCACGGGCTGCTCCTCCTGACCCCACCCTGGCCATGGCCACAGAAGGTGATGTGCCCCTGCGTGGCCTCCCTGGCCCCAGGCGTTGGCTCAGGCCAGGGCTGCTGGTCTCCTGCCTACAGCCCTGAGTGTCTGGGATCAGCCTCCTCCTTCCTCACAGAGGAGAGCTGGCAGAATTGCTGCTTTCATTGACAAGGAAGATGGAAGCACTTTTCTTTCTAAGCCATTTTCATTGTAATATAAAAACTCACACGCAGGGAAGGGTATAGCGAGTAACAGAGAGTGCCTGGGCGCCCACCGGCCCCCTCCCTCCCACCCCCATGGCCCAGCCCCAAATCTGGATCCGCTTTCCTCCTGACCTGGCGGTTTATGGAGCTGCATGCCTGCTCCCCGGCCTTCCGTGCTGGGTGCCTTGCTGAAGGTATTCCCGCCACTTGGGTTTTTGGATGACGGTTTAGGTAATCTTCCATGTTGTCTGTAGCTGTAAATTGTGGAAAGGTTATTCCCTTTCTTTCCAGCTTTACGAATAGAGAAATTTTTCTTAAAACTAAAGTTAGGCCAGGCGCGGTGGCTCACGCCTGTAATCCCAGCACAATCCGGAGGCAGAGGCAGGCGGATTGCTTGAGGCCAGGAGTTCGAGATCAGCCTGGCCAACAGGGTGAAACACAGTCTCTATTAAAAGTACAAAAGTTAGCTGGGTGTGGTGACACGTGCCTGTAGTCTCAGCTACTTGGGAGGCTGAGGCAGGAGAATCGTTTGAACCCAGGAGGCGGAGGTTGCAGTGAGCCGAGATTGCACCACTGCCCTCCAGCATGGGCAGTAGCGAGGCCTCACCCTTCTCCTGGGCCCCCTTCCACGTCCTGCCGGGGCAGCCTGGCAGGTTCAGTGCTGAGTCCTGAGAAGCCCAGGACACTTGGGCTGCTGTGGTCGGAGGGGCCGGGTAGAGCCCAGCCTCCTGTCTGTCCTCCCTGGGGCCTCCACCATGTTAGTGTTGGCCCTGCCTGACCGCCTGCTAGGAAAGGGACTGGGCCTTCCACGCCCTATAGTCAGTGCCGCACAGCTAGGCTGAGCTCAGCTCTTCTGAAGATGATTTGGGTTCTTTAACCTGAAGTCTCTGAGAACCATTGACTTGGCTACTGTGCAGTTAGTAAAAGGTGGTGTATCAGCCCAAACTAGGAGAGACACTCATTCATGCCCCAAATAATTCCGGATGTATAATA